TGTATGATTCCCACTGCTGCACAAGGTCGCCTTGACCGCCTCTCTACGCCGTCTTGGTTTCTATAGAACAATGGAGTATTCTGTCTCAAATAGTATTCCATTTTTTTTTTTGGAACACACTTTTTCAATTTCCATTGTTTCATATATGTACGGTGGTTAATATATTCTTTAATGAATACTCGACTAGGGTACATAACGTAGGAAAGACAGCGCAGAAAGAAATAGACCAGAAGGAAGAAACAAACAAGACCGGACAGGCGGGACAGCCCAGCTTCCAACTTTAGTACAGTTTATCGACTAGGGTAATTGCTGCTAAAATCTGCGAGAAAAAGTGAGCGATCTTTACAAAGGTAGCTATTCACAAACTTTAGAAACTAAAGTACTCACCCGATAGTGTATGAAGAATACTAAATATTGTGACGAATTTCATAACTGCTTAATAAAAACAAGCCACGTCGCCTTTCTCCAGAGTCACTTGCTTCAATTCCTTACGAAATGTGTTGTTTGCTGATGTTGCTTTTAGAAGACAGCTTTTGAGATGTCAAACTGATAGCGGAATATATACAATACACACTGACATGTGAGTGGCGTAACATTCTATTTTTCTCGATGTATGCTTTCCAAATAAAAAAATGTAAAATCTTCGCGACTCCAGCGACCTATAAAGGGCGCCACCACCAAACAAACATGGCGGCTGAGTCCAGGTCGCGTCGGCTCGGCCGGGTCGCGTATAAGCAAACCATATCCCGTACAGCACCTGGCCACGTCCCATTGTCACGTGACATGACGTCACTTCCGCCAAGGTAATTTGTCATGTCACGTGACCTGACGTCACTTCCGCTCCAAAACGAAACCAGTTGTTTTATTGCCAACGTTGTTTATTGGTTTGCGAATTGTCACGTGACATGACGTCACTCGCGCCGCTGTGGTAAGGTAAACATGGCACCCGCCGCCGCCTGAAACACGAAGCCTACGCCGTCGATAATCGATGCAGTCGCCGCCTGAAACACGAAGCCTACGCCGTCGATCATCGATGCAGTCGCGGCTGAAGCCAGAAACGCTTGGGAAGCCTACGCGATCGACGCAGTCGCGGCTGAGGCGCTGTGAACGCGTTGGCGCGTGGGACTCAGCACTTGGTGACGCAACTACGCGACGCCCGCAGTAGGCGACGTCTCGCATCGTGCTTCTCGTCGCTTGATACGAGCGAAGCAAGAATACTAACAACGCCTACCGCTCGTTTCCGAAGTCCAGCCTTCTCTCGATGTCGCCGCTGGTGTAGCCTTTATTCTTGCTGAGCAGGTTCGTCGCCGACGCGGCGGATGTGAACCATGTCATGCATAAACTCTTGCCTTCTTCGATACGAAAATATGCTCTGTCGTCACGAACGCTTACGCTGACCCACAAGCTGAATTTGAAGTATTTCCAGCATTTTTATTTCGCCTGTACGTTGTCATCGCATCACAGTTACTCGCGGCGACGCAGATCTTCGTGCTTGCCTTCTAGCGGTGCCGCGGCTCTCCCGACCCAAAATAAAAAGCCGCTCGGCGCTGGAACCACGAATTGGGGAAGTGGTATGGCTATGTGTAGGTTTTAAACGCATCATTAACCCCGTTTTGAAGCAGAAGTCATACCCACTGCCAACAGCACAGCAAATGTTGACTTAACTTGTAGCACAGTCCTTTAATACGCTCTTGGTCACAAAACACCGTAGCGCTATAAACGGGCTTGGTATGCGACCACGTGTGGCACTGGGGTTGACAAGGAGCCAGAAAGCTGTCAATCTAGCCACACCACTGGGAATTGGGCATCCAAGACGTGCTATTGTAGTTTCAAACCCACTCGGAATGAGCCACCTTTAGATCACGGTGACGCATCAACACACTGATAGCATTTCTCACAAGTCTAAGTGTCTTTGGCTCTCTATGCTGAGTCAACTGATCAAACTTTAAAACCTTCATTTCAGGTGCCAATTGTAAACAAGGTGAATGTTATATTCGGCGGCAACACTTAGAAGAACACCGTGCAGAGTCCAAGTGGCGTCGCTCCCACGGCACCCCTCGCTCGGATCAAGTATTGTCAGCGCCAGGAAGCCACGAACACAGATCAGACTTTCTCAACGAACGTCGCAGCATCCTGTTCACTGCACCGTTCTTTTAACCGAAATTCATTAATGAAATGCATTTAACCTCAGTATGCGTTCAATTAACTACGAGGAAGTTTCTGGACCCCTGAAGATGGACGACTCCGCTCATCACGAATGAATTGTAAAGCTTTTTCCTGGTGGAAACTGAAGTTAGTAGTTGGAATGCCTCGAATCCTACTTTGAGGCTAAAAACACTACAAGCTCCGCGAAGTAGCAAGCCGTCTTCCTGGCATTCTGCATGAATAAGCCTACGACACCGTACGAGCCCTGCTCGCACCCAGAAAGTTTTCGCAGGTTGAGTTTGAGGACATCATCAAGCGCCTCAATGAACACCACGACCCCAAGCCAGCAAGAGTGCTCAGTCGGTTCAAATTTCATCAACGGAACTAACCAAACTACGACGGGCTCCGTCTCCGAATACGTGGCCACACTTCCTCCACAATTATTAACTTTCCAAGGATTAGCATCATCGAAGGTTGCGACGAGCTATCGACACAAAAGACAGTTCGCCACGGTGGTGACGGCGAGTGTAGCAGTGGAGGGGGACAGGTTTTGTTCACTTCTACATATTCCACAGAGTACGTCGTCACACATCAGATCAGCAAATATTTCATTTTCTTTGCGATTACGCGCAGGAGCAGCAGTTTTTCGGGGCAAGGTGACACGTTTTTGGTCACTTGTGCTTCAATAAACAATATAAAAACTACAAACTGCCAATTCTTTCAACACTACAATCGCTGCACCAACCCTTGACGTGCATCACGCAATAGTGATACAGGACTGCATGCCAGTACGATGTTTATCCAGATTGAAGCCAGGAGGGATGGCGATTGAACCTCGAATGCCTGGATTCTGCAGTCCAAGCTTCCTGCTTCATGTGCTCCAAGCTGTGGTGCACTAACACGCTCGGCCGCCAATCCCCCTCAGCAGCCCCTTCCATGGGTTGTGGGCCTCGGTCCAGTCCCGCGAGCTGACCGCTCTACCAATGTTGATGCTGTAACCCTGCAGGCAAACAGCGTGCTCGTGATTGCAGCCTGCCACTGATCTGTGAGCTCGATTGATGTTAACACAGCGATGTTTCCAGGCCTGGGTCTGCAACTGAGTGAAACCCACCTGACATGGGTCCCCAGAGGGCTGCCAGCTGTTGAGGCCTTTAGTGCAGTCTCACACTAGGCACACTGTCCTCCACGTTCCTCTGCAGGGAAGGGAGTCTCTTTCTTGGCCTCTTGACAGGCTGGTCACTCGGTGGGCATCCGGCTAGCACCCTTATTGAGCCCCTCATCAACCCTGGCCTATATCGAGCAAGGCTCGTAGGCTGCACCCGGATCTGGTGTCCTCGGGTCCTTCGTGCTGCCGCGGTTTCCTCGAGGCTCAACATGAGGCCAGTAGTGTCACGGTAATATACTAATCAGTTTTGATCATCTAAGGAATGCGGCAATGACTACAGGACTGTTCCACTGAGAGTAATTTTCACCTAACTCGCATGCCTCGACCATGCGACTTATGTGTCCGGGAAATCGAGCTTTTGTGCCTATCCGCGTTTAAGAAACAGCTCCAGTCGTCTGCTCGGTCAACAACACAGGCTTTTATAGAACATCAGCATTTGATAGCCGTAGTTAATTGCACATCTATAACCTTTTCATCGGTCTGCATGACGAGTGGAATAGACATGGATGAAACTCTGCGGAAAGGCTAATTTGACCAAAAAGGGTATTTTTTTGTTTGTCGAAATTTAGAACAATTACTAAGCTTGTAGTTGATGGATGAACCTGCAACTTCGCTTCTCACGGGAGCTGATATACGAGAACTTGAACCGGAATGTTTCGATGTCGCCCTCTTACGGTTCCTCTACTTGCCGCCATTACCAGTATTTGCCTCAAAATGATGTCACAAGACAACTTCAATGGTGTGTTTAAACTCTTGAAGTTAACATATCCTAAAACAAAAACCGTCAAGATCCACAGTACGGCAATAAAATTATTTCCGTCAATAAAAGCAGAATGAATCAGATTTGAGTAGGATGCGAATTATGTTGTAGTGTAAATAAAATATGACGTATGCAGCTTTCGTACTTAATGCTGTTAGCGGTTTTGCAATATTCCTTTACCTTCATAAATGCAATAATTTTTTGTATATTGTATGTTTTATATTGTTTGATTTCTTGTCATTAATATAATTTCGTGCTATCGGGAAGATGTCAATCACTTTGTTGAAGTTGGTAACTTTCGGCTGAATGCATTTCTTTTGCCTTTTTATGTACCTATGTGAACAGTGTGTCGTCAGGCTTCTGAGTCCTTTGCGCAAACCCCTCTTTCAGACCCTACCCCAAGAAAAAAAGCTTTAGCAATGATGTCATTGTGAGATTTTGGCCAGTAGTGGGCAGCCGACCACAGGGACCAAACGTCAGAGCATCCTACGAAGAAAATATTAATGTTGGGTAATTTTCGGTTCGGCCATGAAGGCCGGGTCACCACGAGGGACCTGCTGCACGAGGTCGCCTTGACCGCCTCTCTACGCCGTCTTGGTTTCTATAAAACAATGGAGTACTCTGTCTCAAATATTAGTCCAGTTTCTTTAAGAACACTCTTTTGCAATTTTCATTGTTTCATATCCTTACGGTGGTTAAGATATCCTTTAAAGAATAGTCGACTAGGGTACATCACGTAGGTAAAACCGCGCAGAAAGAAATAGGCCAGAAGAAAAAAAAACCATCAGGACCGGACAGGCGGGACAGCCCAGCTTCCAACTTTGGTACAGTTTGTCGACTAGGGTAATTGCTGCTAAAATCTGCGAGAAAAAGTGAGTGATCTTTACAAAGATCATTCACTTTTTTTACTTTAGAAACTAAAGTACTCACCCGATAGTGTATGAAGAATACTAAATATCGTGACGATTTTCATAACTGCTTTATAAAAACAACAAGCCACGTCGCCTTTCTCCGGAGTCACTTGCTCCCTTCCTTACGAAACGTGTTCCTTGCGGATGTTGCTTTTATAAGACTGCTCGTTAGATGTCACACTGACAGCGGAATATATACAATACGCACTGACTTTTGAAAGGCGTAACATTATATTTTGCTGGATGTATGATTTCCAAATAAAAAGAATGTCAAATATAAATGCTACAGTTCTTTTGCGATACACCTCAGTTCGAGAAATAAAAAAAAAGCGCCTGAAACGTTTGTTTGCATTGCACAGTGTGGTCCAAGGACCTTTTGATTCGAATGAATGGTAGGAAGTGGATTAAACGAAAAATAAAATTTTAGATAAACTCCAAGAAGCGAATTTCGAGGAGTGTGACCAATAGGAAGTGATCTTTAAACTTATCCAGCGGTCAATTAGGAACAACGAATTAAGGTTCACAAAGCTCTGACATACATATAAACTAATATTGAGACCGTGCGACAAATCAGTGGCGCCCATGGTACATTACCTAGTAAAAGCAATTTTCAGAGGCATTGTGTGCAAAGGTCAACATTAGGTTCAAGTAAAGGTCTGTTTATCTTACCACAGTGCTATACGAAGCACTGTGAGCCACAGTTATCACTTTTTACATAAGGTATAAAAACCAAAACACTCAAGCGCTGGTCAGCAAATACCAATCTGATGATTGACCCCATAAGTGTGACGTCACTTCTCCAAACAAACCGTCGCTAAGGGCGTTAGCCGCCTCGGTGGCTCCGAGGCGAGAGCGCCGGCCTACGGATCCCCAGGTGGCGGGTTCGAATCCCGACCGAGGTGCCCGCAATATGACGGAGGCTTATTGCGGAGGAGGCGCCGTGTAACCGAGCTTTCGGTTGCACGTCAAAAGATCCCCAGGTGGTCGAAATTAATGCTCAGTCCTCCGCTGGGGCGTGCCAGATGCCCGTCGTAGGTTTGGCACGTAAAACCCCCAAATTTGACTTTGGCTAAGGGCGTTGGTAAGAACGAATACAGAAGAGAGGATTGCGCTCCGAAAAAAACCATACTTCAAAATCAGACACAGAATTTAAACGTCTAAAAATTATAGATATACGAAGCTTAGATTTCAGACCCTGACAGACGTTTACCCAGATTCGGTTGTTTCTAAAATGTTTCCGACGTCAACATCCGGTCCTCGAGACGTCTCGACACGCCTGCCGAGGGCGACGGAGAGATGACGAACGCAGACGGAATGAGTAAACTATAAACACCCTGCAGATCTAACTCAGTGCAGACAGGCGCGCCTCTGGCGGCGGCGTCGTGCATACTCATCGGGAAGGGACTTCGGCAGTCGCAGCTAGACTGCAGTTGTGCATTTATTCGTACGACGAAATGTTCCAGTAACAAGCTTCCCATATCGTAACCGATCTTCATCTCCGAGACCATCGGCCTACAGGCGTCCCCGATCGCCCTCGCCTTACCCACGTTCGTGTGCGTCATTCCGACCATCCCATGAGCCATCCACTTCCTATCAGAACGAGGGAAACTAGACGCGGCGGCAGTAGGAGGTAACGCCGCTTCGTTCAATTCTTGCCAGCCTCTGCCTCCCCAAAGAAATTTTGTTTCGATAACCGTCAAAGGACAAACGTTTTCAGCATTAATAGATGCGGGTGCATCAGTTTCAGTCATGAACGAGTCCACGCGACGGAAGCTTCGTTTGGTTGGCACCCCTCGGGATGGCAGGTTATTGCAAGGTGCGAATCGTTCTCTTTTCTCGTCATTTCGCTTGTGCACCTCTCGCATCACTCTAGACGAAGTTACCGTGGTGTCTTTCACTGTTGTTCCTCACTGCAGCAATGATTTTATTTTGGGATGGGACTTCTTGTCACAAGGCAACGCGCTCATAGACTGCGGCACTGGGTTGCTAAATATCGTAGAAAATATTATGATGACTATGACCTAGAAAGTGTTCAAGTAAGGAAGCTATGTTCGAGTCATGATCATTCCGTATTTGAGTTCCATTTTTGTCACGGCGGTGAAAAAGTTTTTTTTTCGGCGACTATAACGGTAATGTCCTCGTGGAACCTTTTCCGCGACATGTTGCTACGCAGAAACCAACTCTTCCATTTTCATTATCCACATTGATCAATGGCACGGCCACAGTCCCTATCACCAACATGTCACACAAGCCTCAGCGTTTATCAACTGGAACTTGCGTAGCCTTTGTTTATACCCTGCCCATTTGCCCAGTTTTTACTCTTCAGCCCTGCGCTGAAACATTATTAGACTCGTCTACTTCATCGCGTCACTCGGCCTCTTCTTTATCATCTATGGTCGATGAAAAAAATTACCGGGGGATTATCAAGGGTTACTGCTGGATTTATTGAAAGGATGCTCCTCGTGCTTTGACATCGACGGTGGGCCGTAGGGTTTAACAACATCCGTAAAGCACCGAATTGACACCGGCAATGCTTCACCAGTTCAACACAGACCTTACCGCGTCTCTCCTTCAGAGCGAGTCTTAATTGATCAGCATGTTAAAGACCTGCTCCAAAAAAAAAAACCATAGTTTTACCATCATCAAGTCCCTGGTCCTCACCTTTATTTCTGATCAAGAAAAAAGATGGGTCGTGGAGGTTTTGCGTAGATTACAGACGCCTAAATATTGTCACCAAAAAAGACGTGTATCCTCTACCACGAATCGACGACGCTTTAGACAGCTTACAAGGATCCGAATATTTTTCCTCTTTAGACCTTCGATCCGGATATTGGCAGGTACCAATGCATGACCAAGATCAAGAGAAAACAGCCTTCATAACTTTCGACGGGCTCTATGAATAAAAAAGTCCTTCCCTTTGGTTTATGCAACGCTCCTGTCACGTTCGAGAGAATGATGGATGTTTTATTGAAGAGTTTAAGATGACAAACATGCTTGTGCTATTTAGATGATGTTGTCATCTTCTCTGCGACATTTAAAGAGCACCTCTTACGATTGCAATCCGTCCTGAAATGCATTAAGACACCGGATCTCCACCTTAATACTAAGAAATGCCATCTTGCCTGCCGCCAAAATCAGATTTTGGGTCACACCATCAGCGCTGACGGCATTCGTCCTGACCCCGACAAAATAAGAGCTGTCTCGGAATTTCCCCGGCCACTCAACGTTAAACAATTGAAAAGCTTTTTGGGGCTCTGCTGCTTATACTTCCGTGGCTTTATCCAAGATTTCGCAGACCGTGCAAAACCTCTAAATTGACTTCTCTCAAAGGATACAGCATTCAAATGGGCGGAAGACCAAGAGAACTCTTTCAAATCCTTAAAGCTGTCTCTGACTAATGATTCAATACTATGCCATTTTGATATCCGCTCTCCCACAGAAATACATTCAGACGAAAGCGGATATGAAATTGATGCGATCCTTATCCAGAAGAAACATGGCAAGGAACAGGTCATCGCGTATGCTAGCCGCACGCTCACTAGAGCGGAGGTAAACTATCCTACAACAAAGAAAGAGTGTTTGGTTATAATATGGGCCATAACCTAGTTTCGGCCGTACCTATTTGGGCGACGCTTTCGAATAGTGCCTGACCACCACGCTCTCTGCTCGTTAACAAACATGGAAGAGCCATCAGGACGTCTCGCTAGATTGTCACTTCGTCTGCAGGACTATAATGTCGAGAGAGTTTATAAGGCAGGCTACGCTCCCCAAGATGCCGACGCTTTGTCCCGCTGCCCCCTACATTCCACCACCACCGATGACGCGGATTCCACCGAGATATCTGTTCTGGCCTTAGCTTTCTAAATGGACATCGCAACGGAACAACGTAACGGTCCGAAACTGCGGAGTATCATCCGACTCTTACAGCATCCTTTGCCACGGAGCAGAGCAGCAAAAATGTTACGTATGTATGTAATTGTCGGGAGAGTTCTATATCGTCGCAAGTATGAACCCACAGGTCAATCCCTGCTTCTCGTGATCCCGCGACATTTACGCTCTGATGTATTTCGTTCCCTTCATGATGATCCGACAGCCGGACATTCGGGTGTGTTTCGAACATACAACCGTGCCCTCTCTCGTATTTTCTGGTTTGCCTTATACAAGAGTGTCCACAGATACGTCCCATCATGTGAAGCTTGCCAGCGCCAAAATACACCTACCCTCGCTCCAGCGGGCTATCTGCAGCCCGTTTAGCCCCCTAGCCACCCATTTGAGAGTGTTGGAATTGATCTCCTTGGCCCTTTTCCTGAGTCGAAACACCAAAGCCGATGGATAATCGTCGCCGTCGACCATTTGTCGCGATACGTAGAAATTGTTCTCCACAATATCGTTCTGCAACACGGATCCCCAGAAAACTCGTGAGCGACAGAGGGTGCGTCTTTTTATCTACTGTCATTCAGCACCTCCTTCGGTATTGTTGCACAATCCAACGCACCACAACCGCCTACCACCCTCAAGCAAATGGGATGACTGAACGCTTTATTCGAACCCTCGCCTCGATGCTAGCAATATACATTTCCAATAATCAAGACAACTGGGATCAAGTTTTGCCGTTTGTTACTTATGCTTACAACACGGCCATCAATGAAACTACGCACTATTCTCCATTTTACTTAGTCTACGGTCGGAATGTAGTAACGTCCCTAGACACGATCCTTCCAAGTGTTTCCGAACCATCACCTGACTACGTACAAGACGTTCTTCACCGGGCGGAAGAGTCCCGCCAACTCGCTCAACATTGCACACTTGCTCCTCAGCAGACACAGGTCATCCGTTATAACGACAAGCACAGACGAGTTAACTACTGTGTCGGCGATCTTGTTTAGTCTGGTCACCCGTTCGTGTTGTTGGACGTTCAGAAAAACTTCTCTTCCTCTATATTAAACCATACCGGATCACACGGCAGACATTTGACGTCAACTACGAAATAGAACGTGTGACGCCCATCTCAGACGGTCGCTCACGGAACAAGGATATCGTCCATGTGTCTCGAATGAAGCCA